AGTTAAAGATAAAAGTTTTAGACGATTTTAGACCCCTCTCCACTCTAGCTCAGTTTGCTAAAACTTTAGATTTTGATTGTATATAATTTCAAAGAACTAAAGTCAGTCCCCTGGTGCTGTGGCTGTTTGTGGTTATGTGGTTCTTTAGCCGCTAAGGAGAGGTGCAAGTGAATGCAAGGGGATGATAAATCACTCAATAGACCCCTGAACAATTTGTCCCCCTCACTTCTGAAATGATGGCTACTCCCCTGCTGAGTCTGTCATTGAGAGGGAGAGACAAGCTGTGTGAAGGCAGGCAGATGGAGGTGGCTATGAAATATCTCAAACTCCTCCCTTTAATTCCCAAACAGTGGGTCCAATTGTCAATCTGAACATACCAGCAGAGAGAGGCACTCGTCCTAAACGCAGCTATATACACTGCCTGGCCAAAAAAAAAAGTCGCCACCTGGATTTAACTAAGGTTCAGCAACAGTATGTGCTCAAAGAATGAGGTCAGCTGACTACCTGAATATACTGAATGACCAGGTTATTCCATCAATGGATTTTTTCTTCCCTGATGGCACGGGCATATTCCAAGATGACAATGCCAGGATTCATCGGGCTCAAACTGTGAAAGACTGGTTCAGGGAGCATGAGACATCATTTTCACACATGGATTGGCCACCACAGAGTCCAGACCTTAACCCCATTGAGAATCTTTGGGATGTGCTGGAGAAGGTTTTGCGCAGCGGTCAGACTCTACCATCATCAATGCAAGATCTTGGTGAAAAATTAATGCAACACTGGATGGAAATAAATCTTGTGACATTGCTGAAGCTTATCGAAACAATGCCACAGCGAATGTGTGCCGTAATCAAAGCTAAAGGCGGTCCAACGAAATATTAGAGTGTATGACCTTTTTTTTGGTGGTGACTTTTTTTTTGGCCAGGCAGTGTAGTTTTTATGTTTGTGGAGTCAAAAATGCGGATTTCCGATGTCTAGCTCACAGCTGACAATTTCTCCACATTTGGTCATGTTATTTTCAGAAGCTCTTGCTCACTTCCTATTGGGTTTAGGTCAGGGGTGTCAGAGTGATTTGTAGGTCTCAAAGAGACGAACAAGCCAGTTTTGGTTTGATCTTTCTACGACATTCGTACGGGTTGCAGTGGCCATTTTAAGGCAGATTGAGATGGTTTTAAAATGTGTCGAACTCCTCCCTTTAATTCCCAAACCGTGGGTCCAGTCGTCAATCTGAGCATACCAGCAGAGCGATACACTCGTCCTGAATGCAGACATAGGTTTTTATGTTTATGGAATAAAAAATTTGATCTTGATCGCTAGTGGAACAAGTCTAGGTCACAGCTGACAATTTCTCCACATTTGCTCATGTTACTTTCAGAGGCACTAGCTCATTTCCTGTTGGATTTAGGTCAGGGATGTAGGCACGTGATTTGTAGGTCTCGAGGAGACAAACAAGCCAGTTTTGGTTTGATCTTTCTACGACATTCCTACAGACCGCAGCAACCATTTTAGTGTGTCTAGGTGGCACAACGATTGTCAGGAGGTTTTGTGACATGTCACCTTTATCAGGGCATAAATCCAAACCATTTGAGTAATGACAAAGTTGTTCAGAGGAACTGTTTAGCAGGACTTGGCCTGTCATGTGTGCATGTTTGAAGTCGATATGATAAACGGTGTAAGAGTAGATATTTTTTGAGTAAGAGAATTTTTGAAAAATGACATCTTACTTTATAAGGGCAAATAGCTCACTTCCTGTTGGATTTAGGTCAGGGGTGTCATGTAAGTTGTAGGTCTCGATGAGATGAACAAGCCAGTTTTGGTTTGATCTTTCTACAACATTCCTACGGGCCGCAATGGCCATTTCAGTGTGTCTAGGTGGCGGTAGAGAGCCCATTTTGGCAGGAAGTGGATCTCTCCACCTGATCTCAAGGAGTTATGTACCCTGCGTAGTAGTTCCCCCTGCTGGCCCCCACCTGACATTATTTCTTCTCTTATAGATAAACTGGCTGGCTCTGGGTGCTTCATCTGACATTTCCCTCACTGTCTTCCTCAAACTCTGTCCCTGCACTCCGAGTTCCCCCAGGAGCGAGACAGCTGATCTTGCTATGAATCCCCTACACCCCACTTCCACTGGACAAATCCTAGTCTTCCATCCTCGCTGCTCAGCTTCTGCTCCTAAGTCTGCATATCTAAGCTTTTTTCTTTCATAGGCTTCTTCCACTGAGTCTTCCCAAGGAACTGTCAGCTCAATGAAATAAACTATCCGTTGACTCACTGACCACAACACTAAGTCAGGCCTCTGCCTGGTACAGACTATTTCCTGAGGAACAACAAGCTTTCCCCCTAAATCTACTTGCATTTCCCAATCACAAGCACCTTCTAGGCGGCCACACCCTTGCCTCCTTACTAACTTATCTCTTCTGTATTTCTCCCCCTCACGGACAAACTGAATTGCTAAACTCCTATTCTTAACACCTTCTGAATTTCTGATCTGGTCGAGCATCGATATGACTCTCATGCTGGAGTGAAGTACAACAGTTCTAATGGACAAATGTTTCATCAGGAGAATCTACTTTAGTGGTAAATCTGTTACATATAGAGGAAAAAAAAGTCAAAACTACTTTTTTTTTAAAAAATTATCATTATTATTATTTGGTGACATTTAAAGAAGCTTAACAACACAGCTTTGCATTAAACCAATGCCATGTTACTTATAATCCATGTTTTAGACATGACCAAACAAGTAGCCTAATTCAAGTCAAAAAATTATTGTACAATACACCCTTGCCTTAATGAAAACCAGAAATGTCACCAACATACCTTATCATGCTGTTTCTTTTTTCCATAGACACGATTCCAGTGTATCCGCAGGTCACAATATCATCAACCAGGTCATTGATGTTGTCATTACTGGTGCTGTTTATCTGAAAACAGAGTAGGTGTCAAGTGAAATTAAGTTGCATTTTATCATTGTTCTCTACAGGCAACAACCACAAAAAGTAATCGTGCAAGCCATATCATAATCAGGTTAATGCAATTACTAACTTCGATAAAATTGTATTTACCCTCTCAATAAGCTGTGACAGTTCAAAATCTGTTACATCACTGGCAGACACTTGTATGCTGTCAGAGTCACCGGAGCAGAGATATCTGAAGCACCACTCGCGCATGAAGTTAGGGCAAGGTCCGCCTTGTGCCACACTAGCTGCCATGACCAGGGTTTCCTCCAGGATTTTTTGAAACTGTGGGGGAGGGCTCCGGCGATGACGGAAACTGAATGTTTTTATAAATACCCTATTTATTCACTACACAAATGTAGCAAAACTATATACACAACTGTAGCCTAATCTAATGGCACAGTTTGCAGCATGGATGAGAGCACTTTATTCTTCTTGATTTTTTGAAAAAGAGCTCAAAAGCTCTGTCATATGAAGTGGCCCATTGATGCTGCCTGTTCCTCAGGTCTGTCTTCACCTACACATAAAAACAATTAAAAGGGTGTTGAATACTGTTGATCCTGAATGTGCTCTTACACTGACCAGGTTGTCTGGAGAGGGGGTGTGATAAACAGGTAGCAGGTGTCGCAAATTAATAAATGACCCCCCCTTGACGGCGCCACTGGCGCGCACATGTGAGTTGTTGACAGCGACAACGTGTCTGTCGGCTTCGTCTAGTGTACAAAGTGCAGCACGGTGCTGGTATAGGACAGCAAAAAGACGGGGACCTCAACGCTTAAGAGGCACATCACGAAGGCTTGCCATGGGAAGAAAGACGAGAGTCAGCCTTTAATGTCCACGTTCATATCCTTAAAAAAAATGTCGGGTTTAAACCGGGCTTGGGCTCATAATTATAGTTAAAGGGACGGACTGGGCTCGGACAGAACATGCACAGGCTCGGGTGGGGTCGGGCTGGATTTTTTGGGCCCTATCTAAGCTCTACACAGCACTGAGGAATGCAGGAGAAACTTAAAGTGCTTGTTAACTGCAATGATCCTGAAGGGCCTGCCAGACTCATTTAAGCCATTTTCCATCCATATTACACAAAGTGATGAGAAGTTAAGTTTCACCGAATTTAAAACAAAGCTAAGGAGCTATGAGACCACGGAAAAGTTCAATGCCGTTTGCTCAGATGATGACAGCGTGATGAAAGTGAGAGGAAGAAACAGCGGGAATGTTAACATTAACATTAGGGTCGTTTTCACAGACTTGAACAAAAAATACATCAAACTTAACCTTGCTTACGTAGGCTACCTTTCTCTCACCCTTTTCTCTCCCTCTACTTCAGACTGTTGTCTCTTTGCCCCCCCTCCACTCTTGAGCGTTCCACAGTACAGCCAGAAAGGCAGGTGATGACTCCGGTGTTCGTTTTTCAAAATAAAGTTAATTGCAGCGTAGTGTGGCATAACATTTCATGATATTTAAATTATCATTTCAAACTCTGATTATGGTAAGTATATGTGCGCAAATATAGGCTATACACACACACATCCCAGCAAGCATTTTTTGGTTTAAAAAACATCTAATAGCCGTCTACATGAAGACCTGACGTCTAGGCTAAATCACAGCTGAATTTGGGCTACCAGTGAAAATTTAACAACTACATGTTTAAGTCTAACATATTGCAGAAAAATGTCTTAAGGGTTCCGTAGGTTCAATTATTCTGTTAATAATTCTGTCAAACTAATTCAATTGAAACAGATCAAATGTAAAACATTTATTAACATAAATGCCACATTTTAACAAACAATATTTAACAAACAATTTAACAAAAATAAGATATAAAATATAGATATAAATACATTTAAGACAACTACACACAATAAAAATTAAGGGAAAATAAAGAACATTGTAAATGGCATTACTTAAAATAAATAAAATAACCAAAAAGGTGACCCAAAAACAGTGGAGAAAAATGGCCACTCACTTACAACTTCCATGGTTGGGAAGCAATGATATAGACAGTAATTGGGTTAAAACCCTCCATTGCCGCTTGCGGCTATATNCCCAGCTCTCCCTGGGGCCTGCTTCGGGTGTTCAGCCATTGAATTTTTGATTTCCACCTCTGTGGCGGACTTGAAGTTTGTCATCACTGCATCTGTCAAGTCAGAAAGAATTTGATAAGAAAAGCAAATTACAGTTGTGACAGGGAATCAAAACACTTGTGATTGAGTATTTGTGTCAGCAAAACCCAACATACCGATAATGACAGAGAAGAGTTCCGTTTTTTCGAAGGCTATTTTCTCCAGATGACCGCCACCTCTCGTGTTGAATTTGGCCATGAGGGAGTTTTTCAAAAGCCTGTAACAGAGAAAAAGTTGGGATATTTCACTGTGGACAAAGAGGTAGATTTCAAAATGACAGGTAAAAATTATTTTTTAAATGATATTTTTGGGTATTTGTGTTTTAATAAGACAGCACAGCACAGAGTACTCTGGCTGGCATTATGTGGACTAAAATAAATGGTGGTCATGTGACGATAACTATAATTAAATATATAATGCAATATTGTTGACGAATAAAAACGAGACTAAATGTGGTTTACAAAATAAAACCTCTGCTAAAATGTCTCTTCATTTTCGTTGACCAAAACGAGACGAAATAACGTTATAATGTTCAGTCCCGTTATTATTATTTTGCAGTATTTCTGTTTCCTAGGCTGTGCGTCGCACTGCGCAGACGGATTACAGCCGCAGACGATATACAGTACAACATCACTCGCTCTCATGTGATATTGCTTTTATTAACATGTGCACTGTTAATAAACCCATATTAAATACATAAAAAAGAGTAAATTTTGCCTGTCCAAATCCATCTAACACACAATCTGGCTGAAATATTAAAAAAATGTATTTACAATCAATTCATAACTTACTTTTTTCTGACATTGGAAATTTGTCTGGCCTCCCTGAAATGAAACGGTAAATATCAAATATTATTATGCACTCTTAAAATGCATGGTTCTTTAAATTGAGATCAATACAAATTGCCTTTTATTACTTTCTTTCCAAATTATCCTTTGTTTTTCATAACTTTTGGGGTTCTCCTCATATAGCACCTATTGCTAGTGGCTGTAAGGAAATATGAAGTTATTAAAAAAATATTCACTCATCTTAAATCTCAGGCATAATGTGTGTACATTCTTACCATGTGTCATTCTGCTTGAGGTTTGTCTAGTCCCAGTGTCTGTAAAGAAATTACATTAACAACTGCAATATTAAACATATTAAGAATCACAATATTAAATCCCCATCCAAAATCTCAAACTTGTCTATATTTACCTTGTGGAGTTCTCCTCTGGTTATGAGTCCCAGTGGCTATAAAATAATAAGTGCAATATTAAACATCTTTATTACAATATTAAGTCAATCTTAATATCTTAAAAATCAGGTCCATTCTTACCTTGAGGAGTTCTGCTTGAGTCTCGAGTCCCAGTAGCTGTAAAAAAAAAAAAAAATAAAAAATTAACAAAAACACTATTAAACATGACTACACACTCACAATATTCAATCTCCATCCAAAACCTCAAACATGTCTACTCTTAAGTTGTAGAGTAGTGCTGGTTTTACGAGTCCCAGTGGCTGAAAATAATTGCAATAATCAATATATTATTTACAATATTCAATCAACATCCGAAATCTTTAACATCAGGTCCATTCTTACCTTGAGGAGTTCTGCTTGAGTCTCGAGTCCCAGTAGCTGTAAAAAAAAAAAAAAATAATAATAATACATTAACAAAAACACTATTAAACATAACTATACACTCACAATATTCAATCTCCATCCAAATCCAATCAAAATCTCAAAATTGTCTATATTTACCTTGTGGAGTTCTGCTCTGGTTCCGAGTCCCAGTGGCTGTAAAATAATAAGTGCAATATTAAACATCTTAATTACAATATTCAATTAACATCCGAAATCTTAAACATCAGGTCCATTCTTACCTTAAGGAGTTCTGCTTGAGGTTCGACGAGTCCCAGTAGCTGTAAAAAAAACAAAAAACAAAACACTATTAAACATAACTACACACTCACAATATTCAATCTCCATCCAAAATCTCAAACATGTCTACTCTTACGTTGTAGAGTAATGCTGGTTTTACAAGTCCCAGTGGCTGAAAATTAATAATTGCAATATTTAACATATTATTTCAAATATTCAATCAACATCCGAAATTTTGTGTTCAAATACACACAAGAAGTTTGTGCTCTAGAGAAAGGATCAACACTCAGTGAATAACCTAAGCCCTATGATAAGCTAATATGGCAAGGCTTAACTATACAGACCCGTGAGCAGTGATAACTAGCATGTCTTTGGGGTCATCGGGTGGGAACCTCCTTTCACCGGTGTTTCGCCTAGTTAGTCCCACGACACCTCCAGGAGGCTAGACAGTGATCTCTGGCGTCCCAGAGACACTCCCCTAATGCCAGGTCTCACTGCTCCCCACACCAACCCAATAACCTCCTTTACCTTACTTACACATGGCTTTCTCAGCCCAAACAGCACTGCCACCTTCAACCAAACCCAGGCTCCGTACATGCGAGCTCCAGGTA